GGCCGATATGTTAAAACTTATTTGGCCGATAACCGATATTTTATATACTTTCCTTCATCAGAACATAGCCCTATTATTTATGATTATTTGCTACAAAAATTGTGCAACAGCTGTAAGAGCTGGTGACATATATTCAGTAACAGCCATATGATATGCATAGCACTTTAACTTATATTAAATGAAAAGTGTTAAATGTTATTTATTAGCATTGGTCACATGCTATGCTGTCTCACTTGTGGAGGCTTGTTCAGGGTTCCTAGCTGCAGTGTGGGATCCTTTGCAATCTTGTGAATAAAGGACAGCTTTTTAAGTTCTAAGTTTTTGTCTATTGTGCCGTAAGACTAATCATGCTAACGGGGCTAACATGACGTCCAAACGTCTGTGGTAAAACTCACTCAAGTGCTATCGGCTATTAGCTTTTCAATGACGTCGGAAATGACGGCTTGTAACTCGGGTAAGGTTACGTTGGGAAAATATCTCCGACTGGGGGCGATGTAGCGAGGCTCAACTTAGTCCAAAAATCTTCAGAATCTGACATCCTCAACGAAAAAAAAAAATCTTCCACACCACCAACATTTTGAATTTTCCACACGCGTGACATCATCACATTGTGCTGGAGCTGCAGGCATCCTTGTCACTGGGTTGTCACAAAAACAGCATATTTTATATTGGTGAGTTATTTTGATGGAATGTACGATATTGAACTTTAATGCTAATATCGGCCAATACCGATACCATGCAGATAATATCGTGCATCCCTAGTATCTTGATAGAAAGGCGCTATACATGGTAAGTACAGGCCATTTACCATTTACAAGTTAGAGAGGCCGGAGTTAACATTAATGGAACAAAGTATATATGTTGCATGTCTTCCGTTGCTTTGAGGTTCTTGGTAAAAATCTCTAAATTTGGGCTTAGGCTGAGCATGGATGGTGCTGAACGGCACTGTGAGAATTTTAGGGTATATCCGGATCTTAGCTCGAAGTGCCTCTTTGACATGATGACAGTAATCTGCTTACAACGTTTAAATTTCTAGTGTGTAGTGCTCCTTCAGATAAACCTACAAAACCCCAGATGTAGATCTTGGAACTTTTCCATTGATCACATGTTCTGTGACCATTTAAAAACCTTTGAAGATTAAAGTGAGAATGCTGCATGTTTCATCTGAAGTACGTCAGAGTCATAGTCTGGTTTAATTTGTAGCACATTTATGGGGATACAGGAAACTTTAATGTAAGATGCAGTTTGTTAGCTTTATAAGAACTTTTGAAGTGGGATCTTTTTCACTAGCTGTTAGCTTGCCAGCTCAGTTAGAAATAAACTCTTTCTTCGAGCCGAGGTTGTTTAAAGAATTATCTATCTTAGACGGGCGCCCCGCTTGTCAGACAGAACAACAAACCAAAGCACTGTTGGGAAATGAAGGTCAATACATTTTTCAGCATTGTTGTCAGATTAGACTTAATACAGGTTGACCTATAGAGAGTGTTATTGCCCTACATTCTAAAACATTTCATTTAATAACACAGAATGTCTCAGACATGTTTAAACACGCCTCAAAATGGCCTTCAGGGTTAAAACAATCTTCTGATTGTTGCCACAATGGTGAATAAAAAAGTTTGAAATGTAGTCTAGGGGAACAGGACAATTACTTTTCACATGCAAGACATAATGTGGAGGATAATATTGGTTTTTTTTTTATCTTTAAATTTCCTACATTGTGTTTTCTGAGACAAACTGTGCTGCTCTGTGCACCACTTCTCATGCTTCAGTATTTGTGTTACAGAAATAAAATCGTGTTTTTGTCCAAGAAGCAAGGCTCCTCTGCCACCTAGAGGTAAATCAAAGTTCTGTCCACAGTCAGAACCGCAGCTCTGGGCTCAATAATGAGATATTTAGGAAGAAATCACAAACCAGATTGCTCTGAATCCAGTGATTTGTGATGAAACAGTGCGTGAGCTAATGATCTTTCATGAATCAATCTCATGTTGTAATCCTTCTAGATCAAAACATAGACAGACAGCAGGATAGACAGGTTGTCAAACTACTGTACAATGCTAAAGTTTGAATCAAAGATCTTGTGCAATGAGTAGCACTTAAGAGTGTGTTGTGAATGACTCTCAGCTACCACCACACAAAATTGTGGCACTATATCAGTAAAATGGACTGAATTGCAGCCATTTTTGTGTGTTTTTTAAGTTCAGTTTTCAAGCAGTTTTAAAAGTACATCCGATGATTCATTCCAAAAAGTTCAAGACAAAAACAACTGGACTTTATTTGTAGCAGAAGACGTTGCGCTTCTCATCCGAGAAGCTTTCTCAATTCTGTGTTTTTGTCTTGGAACTTTTTTGAACTTACCATGTCCTGGATCTTCACCAGCGTACATCCGATGATTGTTTCTTCAAAGTTTAATTCCAATCCAATCAGTGTTTCTTGAGATATTTTGCTAACAGAGTTGACTGCAAACAGTAAATTTTAAACAAAGATCTTGCGCAACCAACCCGTACACAAAATATGAGTTGGCGATCGTTCTCAGCTACTACCGCACCAGATTTAAGGCCACAAACACCAGCGAAAACATCAATATCGATCTTCCCCTTTCTAACGTCAAATAAAAAAATATTCTTGTGAATAAAAGTTTTACAATATGACTAATGGCAATCTAAGCATTAGCATATTTAAACAAATGATACTAAATAACGAACCACGAGGAACAATAAAGGAACATGCTCTTATTTCCCAGAGTTAAATAATCTAGCTTCACAAAAGAAGCTGGAGTTCCCATCAGTACCGGGAGGATGGTCCTGCAGAATAAATGGTACACACAACATTTTGACTTTATGAAGACCCAGAGACATTTGTATTCCACAGGTAAGTTTCTTTCGCCTGCTCCCATCTTCAGGGATCACCACAGCGAGCAAACTCACATGAAAGATTTGCCAATTTGTTTTATGGTGGATGCCCTTCCTGACGCAACTTGGGCTTGAACCCGCAGCCTCAGGATAACAAGACCACGACACTGACCACCAAGCTACCGCAGACCTCACTTGTGTTCCACATGACTACTAACTTTATTTACACAAAACTGCCCAAGGGAGAAATCAGAGGTGAATGTGGCGAGTTTTAAATTAAAATATAACATGAAGTTTTCTCAGTTCATTCCTTACAGTGTGACAATATTTTCTCTTATTGCAAGTTTTTTTAGTTTCCAAATAACTAATTTTAATACAATCACCCACACAAATTCACTGAAATCTCTACAATTCTTTCAAAACATCAATCTTAATATACCGTATTATATATTACATTATAATTATTTAGCATATATCTTAGATCCTTGCATACTGTTTCTTTTTTTATACTTTTTTTTTTTACTATTTGGGACCTTGAGTACACAATTTTCTTTCCACCTTATGTACCACGTGATGCGAATGACAATAATCACCTTGAACCTCGATCTCCTTAAAATTTGCTTCAGCATATTGCTCTAATTTAGAATTCCTTTGCTCCTTCTAGCAACCATTTAGCTATTTTTAGCTTTTAGCTCCCATTCTGCTACCTTTTAGCTGCTATTTGCCAACTTTTAGCCACTAATTTAATTTGAACTTTTAGCTTTTAATTTGTACATTGCAGCTTTTAGCTACTTATTTAATAAATTTAACAGCTGTTTCTTCTGATTTTAGCTTTTAGCTACAATTCTACTACCTTCAGCTAGTTGTGCTAGTATCGACATTATCAACTATTTGCCAGTTTTTAGCTTTGAGCAGATCACTCAATTTTAACCTTTACTTCCTAATTTGCCTATTTTAATTTTTAGCAATTGTTTGGATCATTTTAGCTTTTAGCATATATCTTCTGATTGTAGCTTATATTGTAGAAACGGTTTTGCTATATTAACTTTTAGCTACTGTTTTGATCATTTTAGCTTTTAGTGTGCGTTTCTTCTGACTGTAGCTTTTAGAAACTGTTTAGTTAATCTAAGCTTTTGGTTACAGTTCTGCTATAGCTTGTAGTTTAGCAATTTTCCGTTTTTAGCGTTTGCTTGTTAATTTTAGCTTTTAGCTACTTTTTATTTTCTTTTGGCAGCTGATTTTTTTATCTGTTCTGCTGCTCTGTTGCCGAATACCTGCAGAAAAATAATTTTCTCGTGTTATTTTTGCTCTCATTACGGGAGTGGTGGTGCAGAGGTTAGAGAAGATGAGCCTGTGATCAGAAGATCGCTGGGTCAACTCCTCGTACCGACATCAAAATGTGGGTGGGACTGGTGAAGCACCCACACCTGTCTCCACTCTCATTTGCCCCGCTCTGGGCCCTTGAGCAAGGCCCTTAACCCCCATGCCCTAGCAGCTCTCTGCTCCACACAGAGAGCTGCGGTAGCTCGGTGGTTATGTCAGGCAGGGCATCCAGCGTAAAAATAATTGCCAAGTCTTCGTGCACCTCAGTTCCTTGTGGTGACCCCTGACGAAGGGAGAAGCCGAAAGAAAAAGAAAGATTTTTGCACGCATTAGTATAGCTGTCCAAAAACAAACAAACAAAAAAAGCACCTAAAGGCGCTTCCTCACTAATCCCGTAGGAAACAAGAAGCTCAGTCTTTAAGTTTTACGACAGCGGTGCGTCGGTCTAACTTTAGGGCTAAAAGAAAAACAAATGGGTTAAATAATCAGTTTAAGTTTGAAACAGCTGTGTGGAAAATGGAGAAAAGCCCTAACCTTGAGGTAACCTATAGGCCACTGGTCTGAGATTAGTGTCTATTTTTGTCTTCCTCGCGGAGTCGCTGCTCCTTTCCTAATTCAAATGCTCAGTAAAAGTCGACCAGTACATTCAGACGACACCATTCACATTACACCAGTTAACCAAAGTGGGAAATGTAGAAGACTACCGGTATTTGGATTCTCTCTCGAACGACAGCTTGACCGGTAAGTGTCGTTTCCTCCGTCGCACTTCTCCTTTAAGCAGTGAAAAAAAAAAAAACCAGCCATGACGTCATCAGTAAAACCTGTCCACTGAAAAGTGAACTGTCGTGTTAGCGGTGTCGGACTTCTCTCTTTTATTTAGCTTTTATTTGGCGGTTTTTTACATTTTTTTTAAGCACAGCCGTGAGGGTTCACGTTATTAATAGGAAAAGCCGACGTCGTAGCCAACTTAGAGGATGTTTTAATAAAGTTCCTGACGCGGTTTCTTTTTTTTTTTTTGAGGAACCGGTGGAAGGCGGACACCACCAGCGATGGATAAGCTAACTGTTAGCTCAGTTGTTAGCCGAGTGTCATAGATCATAGCATAGGCTCTAGCTAGCATGCTAACAACTAGCTAATCAGGTATTTTTCGGCTAGCTAAGTTACTTTATCTGTCGTATCGAAGTTGTTATTCTTTGTGGGCCTTTAGTTTCTCACAGCGGCGAGTTTGTCCGAGGCCGGCTAAGTCGGGAGAGACTCGGTTTGTTAAAGGAAACGACTCACGGTGCGGTATTAATTGTTGAGAGGTGGCGGCTAGTTCGTCTGTCAGCTCAGACTATGAACATGCTATCCAACGCTCAGAACCAACCACTGTTTCCAAACCCGGCGGGCCAGCAGAACCCGGGCGGGCAGCAGAATCCCGCCGGTCAGTTCGTCCCCTTCCACCCGAGACCCAACCTACAGATCAAGAAGAACGCCGTAACAGACGACTATAAAATAACCAGCCAGGTGTTGGGGCTGGGGATCAATGGCAAGGTGCTTGAAATCTTCCAGAAGAAGACCGGGGACAAATATGCGCTGAAGGTAAGTGCTAGCTATCAGCTGACCATCACAACTTGGAAACTTGTTTTTATCATTGGGCTGTTTTTACTTTTCTTTCATGGCTTTATTTTCTCTAATAACTTGTGATTGCTTTAAAGCAGGGGTGTCAAACCCACTTACAAGAGGGGGCCAAAATTAAATCCTTTTTTCAAACTAAGGGCCGGTTTCATAATCTACATGAACTCAAGTTAGATATCCATCTTTTCTTGGATGTAGGTTCCTCATCAAGAGGTTTGATTGGTCTCATTTGATGTTCTCTGTTGGACTTTTGACATCATAATTGAAGATTACTGAAAAAAATTAAAGTGATAAAAGTATTTTACATTTAAAATAACATCTTGGGGGGCCAGATAAGATGTCAACGAGGGCCACATTTGGCCCCGGGGGCTTGAGTTTGACACATGTTTTAAAGTCCACTTTCGTCTGGTTGTTAGAAATGTTTTATAAATCGAGCTGATATGCTGCAAGCAAGAACAAAAGTGAACAAACTAATGATCTGTAAAGTCCAAGCATTTTGGAACAGTACTTTAGAAAACATGACTTAAAGGTACATTTTAATGTTGTTGAATTTAAAATATTTAATATTGATTCACAAATCAGAGCGTGTAAAATTAGTTTACTACATTACCAAAAGTTTTGACAGACCTTTAAATTTGGACTCTTTATAAGATTTGTTGAAAAACTCAACATTGGTTGGTAATATGTATGCATGAGCAGGGGGCCTGTCATTCTGTGTTTCCGTTATACTTCCTGTCCTTCAAACCCCAGCCGGTCGAAGCTCATCCTGAGTCAAGTTCTGCTGGAGGTTTCTTCCTGTTTAAAGGGAGTTTTCCTTTCCACTGTTGCCTTTATGCTTGCTCAGAATGGGCGACTGTGATGAAGTGAAGATTCAACACAATCTGCTGGCTTCCTTAGATAGATTTTAATTCATTCATTCAACCTTTTATTTATACAGGTTAGTCTCATTGAGTTGCGAGTACCCATTTACAAGAGAGACCCATAGATAACGTTTACTAATGAACGTTTTTGTACAGTGCCCATATCTTCTCTTAATACGACTCTTAACACATTTATATGTTCAGAAACTGAAAAGCTCACATCTACTCATTCAAAATTAACATGGGACCAAATTTTTCACTCCAAAAATTGTTTATGTTGTAAATTGTAAACATTGTAATTTTAGTCTTGGGGATAGTCAATACCCTTGATAAAATTTACCTATCACTGGATAAAATAACTTGCACAGAAATTTAACCCAATAACCAATTAGTTTGGTGAGGTGTGTGAGGTAGGAATACAAAGAAATGACGTTCAGTATTCATCCCAAATTTAAGATATTAAAATGCCAAGTAACATAAACAACCAGATGTTAAAGGATGAGTCAAAGTGACAATGTTTAAAGAAAGAAAGATATACAATCTGCAACAAAAACTTAAAAAATATTTGGAAAACAGAAGTTAAGGCCATGGATTCTGTGCAATATGACAAAATAACCCCAAGATATTTATGAAAGAAAAGCTAGTCTGCCTTACCTGCTCTATTCTAACCATACAAAAATAAAACGACAAGGAGCATCACTCCTAATTCTAATGTAGACTCTGGGTTAACGCAACAAGTGCATGTGTGGTGTAAATGTAAGCCTGTCCCAGTCACAAGCAAGTATCTCAGAAACCAGTGCAGTTCCTCTTGATGTCCCCTTTGTCTCCATCACTGTCCTCCCATTCAGCTTCTTGTGTGGTAGATGAAAGTACTGCAGATACACATCTCGTTTCTGGCTGAGTGTCCTGTTAGCTGACTTTCTCCACAGGTCAACTGCTGGTCTTGGCCTTGGCCTCTTGTAACAGCTACTTGATGTTACGTACTTTTGATTTTTTGTTGCCATTGCATACTTTTGTACCAGTTATGAGCATCCCTGCAAATAACAAACCTGTGGTTATTTGATATTTAAACACCACATGTAAAGCATTAGGGGTTCTCATGTTTATACAAATAATAACGTCTCCTCAGTGTTACTGAGGAAAAAACAATTAGAGCAAGTACTGTTCCAATTCACCAGGGAGTTACTGCGGTTTAACTCTGAGGCACAGCAAAGTCTTTGCTAGTGTTGGTGGTGATTTTAAGAGTTCAAATTGTTTCTTTGATGCAGCTCATAAATTAAAGCTTATGGCAGGCTGCAATCTGACACTATCAGTATCAACACCTGAGCTCATTTTCTATACTGGTCAATGATTAATAAAGGGCCAACGCCTCTACAGATATCCACATACAGGGCAATGGATACATGCCCATGTAAAGAGTAGATTTCTGGTCAAATTTACTTTTTCTGAAAAAGTGTAAATGGACTGTACTTATATAGCGCATTTCTATCTTATGAAGATACTCAAAGCTCTTTACGCTACAATCTGTGTCCTCATTTACCCATTCATACAGCACTCTACTAGATCTATACAAAGACTAATCAGTGCTTTATCACATTCAAAAACCTATGGGACACACACCGGACGCAATGAGGGGTTCAGTGTCTTGCCCAGGGACACTTCGGCATGTGACTGCTGGTGGAATCGAACCCCCAACTCTTGTATTGGAGGACAATTATTCTAACCACTCAGCCACAACTCGTCCCAAAACAGTGTGTGAAGAGTGTTTCAGTACCTGTAACATACAAATATTCACCAGGAGAATCACAGTGAAACCTTGGCCACAAGGGAGTTATTTTGTGAAAAATCTTAATTTATTTTTATTGTTTCAGAAAAAATTGTGAAACATCTTTGTTGCATGTTTTAAGGAAACCGTTGGTAAGAACTTCATCAAACTGTGGTGAGAAATTCTTCCTCTGCAGGAATTCAGTTACGTGCGGTTCCCTTGAGAAAGTGGCGAAAAACAAAAAAATACATTTTAAAATATAATTGTGAAAACTGTAACTCTGTCAAAGTTTTTTTTTTTTTTTTACTTAGCCTACACTTTTTATACTACAGAGAAATGCTATAAATCATTTATTGCTATGATTAATGACATGACATAATGCTATATGAATTTATCTGATTTATATTTTATCCATTTAAATATTATTTAAAGAAAAGTGTAATGGAGGTTACAAAGCAGCTGAGGTTACAACAAAAATACTGTGCACAGCCATAAAGTTTTGCAAGTCATGCACACAAAAGTAGGTAGTCATTTAAAAAAACTTGTCTTTTCAAAACACAGCACCACGTCTCGCTGGTCCCATGCTTGCAAATATTTAGAATTCAGAAGTCGCTGGAGAGATGCTGTATCTTCTCTGGCCTGGGAACACCTCGGGGTCCCCCAAAACAAGTTGGAAAGTGTCAATGGGGAGAGGGATGTCTGGGTTTTTCTCCTGGACCTGTTGCCTCCTCGACCCAACTGCAGATAAGCAGTAGAAGATGGATGGATAGTCTCCATCAGTCACCGCCCCTTGAGAGATCACCTTTACTGGATACACGCATACATTATTTAAAATTGATTTTCACATGTGTGAAGACTTTTCTGACTAGAAAATTTGGATTCTGCTGCCTGGTGAAAATTCCACTTTTCTGTTATTGTATGCGGCAGCACGGTGGCGCAACTGGTAGAGCTGCTGCCTCTCAGCGAGCAGGTCCCTGGTTCAAACCCCGGTCCAGGGGCCCTCTGGGTGGAGTTTGCATGTTCTCTCCGTGCATGCGTGGGTTTTCTCCGGGTACTCCGGTTTCCTCCCACAGTCCAAAAACATGCATGTTAGGCTGATTGGTAACTCTAAATTGTCCCTAGGTGTGAGTGAGAAAGTGAATGGTTGTTTGTCTCGTTTGTCTCTATGTGGCCCTGTGATGGACTTGCGACCCGTCCAGGGTGTACCCCTCCCCTCGCACAGTGATTGCTGGACATGGGCACCAGTGACCCCCGTGACCCAAAATGGAACAAGCGGGTAAAGAAAATGGATGGATGGATGTTATTGTATGCATCTTTTAATAGAAAACCAAATTAAAGATGACATGCATTTTTCATCATTTGACATTTTTAGTTGTTCATTTTACAACACTAAATGCTTAAAGAAACCACATATAAATGCACAGTGACGCCTGAGGTTTGTGGATGTTGGAAAAATGATCTCATGAACGTGTCGCTGTATTAACAGGCACAGATGGCTCTTAAAATTACTCATTGTATCTGTAGTGGAGTTTTTAATAACCTGGTTCAGGTCACCACATGACTTGTGATGAGATCGTGTTTAAATAGTGGGTCATTGTGACCGAACTGCAGATGGAAGGAATGGTGTGTGTCTGAGCTCGGCTTGTTGTTTGTTGTAAATTATCAGACTGGGTGCTGTGGATTCTCTTCAAAAGGTCCTTATTGTTTGACTTCATGAAATGTGGGTGATCGTGTAATTGCCCGTGTGTTTGACTAACAAAATGTCTCGCATATCTAAATAATTGGACGTACATCTACAACTGACTAACTTTTGGAGTCAACTTGATTCAAAATGGCCCACACAGCTAATCAAACTTATCCATAAAAAAAAAAAGCTCTTAGTTTTTCAAATATTGAGTTAAGATTTATTCTGGTAGTAGCTGAAAGTCATAAAAGGAAGAAGTTTGGCCCACCAGAACTTTTCCTAGAGCTGGCTGGCTGTCTAAACTGAACGACTGGGGGAGAAGGGTCTTTGTCAGGGAGGTGAGAGAGGAACCTGATGATCCATCTGTCAGAAGTCCAGTATTCCTCTGTGGAGAGAGGAGAACCTTCCAGAAGGACAACATCTCTGCACCAATCCACCAATCAAGTCTGTATGGTAGAGTGGACAGACAAAATTCACTCCTCAATAAAAGGCACATGGCAGCCCATCTGGAGTTTGCCAAAAGACACCTGAAGGACTCAGACCATGAGAAACAAAATTCTCTGGTCTGATGAGACAAAGATTGAACTCTTTCATATGAATGTTAGGCGTCATGTTAGAGAAAACCAGGCACTGCTCATCACCAGATCAATACCAT